CCTTCGCAGTTCGACACATAAACGACTACACTTCACAGCAAACCATGTCGGGTTGCGGGTCCTCACGGCGATAAGCCAGGGTTTAGGGTTTAGGGTTTAGGGTTTAGGGTTTAGGGTTTAGGGTTTAGGGGTTTAGGGTTTCCAACACCCAACTTGCCCCCCCGCAGGCTGCAAGGGTCGCTCGAAGTGTAAACACCTATCCTGCCCCTAAACCCTAAACCTTAAACCCTAAACCCTAAACCCTAAACCCTTAAACCCTAAACCCTAAAGCCTAAAGGAAAGTCGCAGAAGGCGTCTGAGGTCCTGGAGACCCCTGTTGGCCGTTGGCCGCTCTGCCGAAGATTTGATTTTGAAAATCTCTTCCCACCTACCCCCGACCCCGGTCTAGGGCACAACGGGTCAAGCTCCGGCCCTAAGGTAAGGTCCCGCCCATCCACACCAGTTCCAGACTCAGACGCTCTCAAAGCTTGAACCCCTTCATTGCCCAAACTCGAATGCTTGAACCCTTCATCCCAAATTCAATTGCCCCCCGGACTCCAGAATCCCGATACTCGCAAGCGCAAGAGGACGGAACATAGAACTTCCCACGGTGTAAGGCGTCCTTGCGCGGTGGACAGGCGACAAGCGCGGTGGCCGGCGCCTTCCGCAATCAGGAACTGAAGAAACCGTCAGGTGTCATGCATTTCTGTGATTGTCCGATTTCGGCCATGACGATGGCGATACTGATCGTGGCTTGGGAGTACGAACATGACGACCATTCCATGAGCATTCGCTTCGGGAAAGTCGGCAGCCACCAGTACTCTTCTTCGTTTAAGGCTCAGGCCTTCGGCCCTGTTCAGTTCCGTTACCCCCTAAACCCCAAAAACCCTAAACCCTAAACCCCCAAAACCCTAAACCCCAAACCCTAAACCCTAAACCCCAAAAACCCTAACCCCGCCGAAACCCTCAAGCACCAACCGGGCTGCCTTCAAATGAGCAGACAAGGCCTGCATGAACCAGCGATCCTGGCTTACAGCAGAGGGCTTGATGATGTTTCGACGGGTTTAGGGTTTAGAGTTTAATTAGGGTTTAGAGTTTAGGGTGTAGGGTTTAGAGTTTAGGGTTTAGGGTTTAGGGTTTAGGGTTTAGAGTTTAGGGTTTAGGGTTTAGGGTTTAGGGTTCTGAAGTTAGCTAGGGCTTCGAAGCTGTCTGGGGCTTCTAAGACTTAGTGGTAGCCAGTGTGCTGATCAGCTTCACTCCTTTTGTACGAGCGTTGTGTTCCACGCCCAAGGGCCGATTATACATATATCTTTATATGTACATACATACATATATATATATATACATTTACATTTACATATACATATACATATACATATACATATACATATACATATACATATACATATACATACACATATACATATACATATACGTATACATATACATATACATACATATATATATATATAAGGTATATTTCATATGATCTTTATGATCGATAATTTATTACCGGTATGACAGCAGTGCGGAAACGGGCAAGCAGTGCGGTCTCCCAGACCCCACGCCTGCTCCTGCACCTGAGCCTCTAAACGACTGAGACTCGAACCCCGAACCCGACACTCTAAACTGCTTCAGGGTTTAGGGTTTCTTCAACCCCTAAACCCCTAAACCCTAAACCCTAAATCCCTAACCCTCAACCCCAAGCCCTCTCCTTCTTGCCGTACAGCACGTCTGCAGCGACGATCAGATCGTAGGGGGCCGTGAGGTACGTAGACCGATCCTTCAGCAGAGTCGAGGCTTCAGAGGGTGTGGGGATGTACAGTTGAGGGTTTAGGCTTTGAGGGTTCAGGGTGTAGGGTTTAGGTGTTTAGGGTTTAGGCTTTGAGGGTTGAAGATGTAGGGTGTAAGTGTTTAGGGTTTAGGGCTTAAGGCTTCGGTGTATCTCATTGGAAACGTAGAGTTCAGGGTGTAGGGCTCAAAAGTTGTCGTTTGGAAGGCCAGACCCCGACAACACTCCAGACCTGAACCCTAAACAATTTCTATTAACCCTAAACCCTAAACCCTGAACCCTATACCCTAAACCCAGAGTTTGGGCTTCAGGGTTTTGGGTGTTTTGAGGCTCGGAGTTCAGGCTTCGGGGTGGAAACCTCTGGCAAGACAAGACCGTGAAGAGGGTTTAGGGCTTCGGGTTTAGGGTTTCGGGTTAGCAGTCTATGCCCAATCCCCACGTCCAAACCTCCAATGAAGTGAGAGATAAACCAGCAGCACCCATAATGACACCCAAACTAGACACTATCAATATGGCGAAGAAACTCTATGCAGACAGGGAACCACAATGGACAGTACGGCTACCTGCTCTAAAACAACAAATATGGGTGGTTGTCAAAATTATGGTCCCTTTTTGGGTCCTTATTATAATACGGCACCTATTATTTAGGGTACCCCAAAGGGACCATAATTTTGACAACTACCCATATGATGTAGAGCTTGGGTCTGCCACCGAAAAACATTAGGAGCAAAGATGCGAAAAGCTCTAAACTCAAATCCCGTAGCACCAGCCCCACACCTCCCAAACCCGATGGACCCTTGGGGTCAAGGGTTTACTCTAGGGTTTCAAGACGGCTGACGCCCTCCATGAAATCGTCGAATATCAGGGCCGCAATATTCAGTAATAGTATCCCCTTACAGTACACATAAACCTACAAAAACGATGTAGCCCAACACCCTACTCAACCTATCCCTAAACCCTAAACCCCAAACCCTACTCGAATTATCACGGCCTGTCATGTTCGGCCCCGGATCCCGTCAGAAAGGTACGAGCTGAGAGCAAGTCGCCCCAATGCAGGTCGTGAAACTGCACGGAGCCAGCCACCTTGCCTTAAGGTTATGAGGGGCTAAGCGAGGGTTTTCAGCGTCATATGGGTAGCCCTCTAAATTAGGGTCCCGTTTCGGGTCCCCAAAATAGTACGGCACCCTTATAAAAGGGACCCCCAAAAGGAACCCTAATTTAGAGAACTAACCCATATAGAAGTCATTACGATGAAAGTTTTGGGAAGTTGGAGTTGGGGCTTCTAGACTTCTAGGTTTAGGGTTTAGGGTTTAGGGTTTAAGGTTTAGGGTTTAGGGTTTAGGGTTTAGGGTTCAGGGTTACTAGGGCTTGCAGCATAACATAGAGGTGAGAATAACGATGTATGCTTAATTATGCCATACACTTATCCTTCAAGAAACCCTAGTCTCATTGATGAGGCCCCTACATTTATAGTAATCCTCAGATCACCCTTAATACAGGAACCCTATTCTACGGCATGTATGGCCCTCAACCCTGAACCCTACCCCTCTTCCCTAAACCCTAAACCCTAAACCCTAGACCCTAGACCCCAAACCCTAAACCCAATGGCCCTAAACCCGAAACCATTGGGGCTTCGAACTTTTCCAGTGATTGCGGGTTCGAGGCTGGAGCTCCCCTCTTTCGTGACGCAGGGCTGGCGACGGCCACGGAATGGCCGCGGTTGTTGGGGTTTAGGGTTCAAGGTTTTGGGTTTAGGATCTAGGATTTAGGGTTTAATTTAGAGTTTAGGGTGTTAAGATACAAGCCTTAGCGATGGGAACGGGTTGTTGGGATATAGCTGGCATGTCGACAATGACATCGGTACTGACTGCAGTGCAACAAGCTGTCAGCATAATATAGAGGTCAGAAGGAACCCCAAACCCCTAAACCCTAAAAAAATTGCACCAATATCCCAAGGCCTGGCTATGTAATTCTACCATACCATGCCATCAAAACGACCCCTATATGGCCCCAAACCCAAACCCTAGACCCCCACGCTTCTGAACCCTGAACCCTAAACCAACCCTTGAAACCCTAAACCCTATACCCCAACCCTAAACCTAAGGGTTTAGGGTTTAGGGTTTAGGAATTGGGGCTTCGAAGCGCAAAAGTAATCTGGATTCGAGGCATAGAGCTTGCCTCTTTCTGCCGTGGAGCCTTCAAACACTTTTACCGAAACAACCCTCAAACCCCAAGCTCAGAGCCATGAAGACCCTAAGCCCGAAAACTCAAGCCCTAAAGCGCTGAACGTGTACTACTGGCATACTATAGTGCAGTATAGTATATCTTCGTATATGCCGATACCTTATGATATAATTTGATATAACTTGTCATATCTCGTACGCTATAGCATATGATCGCAGAGTACATTATTTTATGGTTTGCTGCAGTGTATTCCAAGATACTTTAACATATAAATAATGCAACTTCAGATATTGTTGTATCCCAAATCGGACGAGCCACGCCGTTCGCCTCCGCGTTCCGCCGTAGAAGCGTCAATAGCTCCGGCTCGCAATCCTCGCGCAGTAATGTGGGGTTTATGGTTTGAGGTTTGGGGTTTAGGGTTTGAGGTTTGGGGATTAGGGTGTGGGGTTTAAGCTTAAGGGTTTAGGGCCTAGGGTTTAGATATAAGGGCCTCATTATTACTTGGACTACAGCTTCTCTTACCAGGTTCTTTAAAGTTTTCTATACGGGTTCTGCAAGCGCTACCGTCTTTGAGGGTTTTAGAAGTGGTTTTCGTCAGGTCTTTGGGGTTTAGGTAGGTGCTTAGAATCTTCGGAGCTGCTAGAATCGGGTTTAGGGTTTAGGGCTTTGTGACATTTTAACTGTTTCTACGTATGCAGTCCATGAAATACAGTCTGGTGGAGTTCAGGGTTTTTGGGCTTCCTTTCTGGCTTCTTGTTTGAAGGAGGGCTCTTTGAAGTGATCCATAGAGTCGTTGGGTTGAGGCCTCTGAAAGTTTAAGAAGTTTGGGGTTGCTCCGTGTGATTTTATGGTTAAGTTTTGGGGCTTAGAGTTTTGGGTTTGGGTGTTTCGGCTTTGCTTTCTTTGTTGAGGTTTCAGGGGGTTGTGTTAAGCAGATTGGGCCTGAGGCAGGCTTAGGAGTCAGAGTTTAGGCTTTCGTTTCATGTAGGGGCCTTAATACTTAGAATAGGGTTTGGGGGGGATACTATACTACAATTATAATAAGGACCCCCCCCCAAAAAAAAAAAATGCATAGCAGGCTCCATGGTGCATGGCGGGCGACAGTTGCGCAGGCACAGTGCTCTCTGGGTTTAGGGGTTTAGGGGGTTTAGGGTTTAGGGTTCAGCAGTTGCGTCGGATCTCTGACATGCACACGAGCTCCAGTAAAACTGTGGGCCACAGCAGCCTCAAGACTTACAAACGTCCGTCACGGAATCATCACGACACTCGCAGATTCATAGTGCCTAAACCCTAAACCCTAAACCCTAATACCCCATCTTTCATGTGCCTGTGCGTATGGAAGACTGCTATTGTCACCGCCTTGTATACCGAGAGGTTCTTTGATTTTGACTTGCTTGAATGTGGCACGTGTCATGCTCTCTGAGAAACCGCGAGAAACCCCAAACCCCAAACCCAAAACCTAACCCCTAAACCCTAAACCTAAACCCTAAACCCTAAACCCTAAAACCTGAACCCCAAACCCAAACCCAAACCCGAACCGTCATTGCCCCTACCTCTGGAACCCAAACCCAGTCCGTGAGGGTCACTTTCGCTCCATACTTCGCTAGCCTGCGAAAGGGCTGCATGGAATGAGTTTGGAAGGCCGAGGACCCTAGGACTCTAGGCGGGAAGGGTTTAGGGCTCAGGGGTGTAGGCTTAGGGTTTAGGGTTCAGGGGTGTAGGGCTCAGGGCTTAGGGTTTAGGGTGTAGGCTTTAGGCTTTAGGGTTCAGGGTTCAGGGTTTAGGGTTTAGAGGTGTAGGGCTTAGGGCTTTTAGGGCTTGTGGGGAACCTGTCAAAGATTCCCAAAGACATTCCTTTGTGGCAGGTGGTTGGTCCCAAAGAACTAAGGCCGTGAACTCTGAAACACAGGGCTGTTCGTAACGTTGGTAGCCTTGAGGGCTCGTCGAGCTTTCTTCTGGAGAACCACACATAATTCTACTCTCCATACGGCACCCTATAGCTTGGCAACCCCAAATAAAAAGGGGACTCCAGTTTGACAATGTGAGCATTCTGAAGCCTAAACCCTGAACGCTTAACCGTGAACCCAGAACGAAGTCCAGGCATGGCGCTCAGGCTCGAGCGTGAGCCCAACGACCCCAGTTCCTGCAAAGCTCGATAGAGTCATAGGAGCGCCACAGATTCATAAGAACTGCTACCGTAAAAATCCCTAAACCCTAAGCTGCAGACCCTGAAACCTAGCCCTCGCCCCGCAGCAGCTCCTCCAAACGATCAGTTCGAAAGATCAGGACTCGGAGCTTCGAACTTGTCTCGTGTAGATACCTTGTAGACACCTTATAATATATAAAACCCTTATTGAAGCTTGACACAACCCGCAGAACCCTTATAGAACCATCGTCGGAGTCTTCGGGTTTAATTTAGGGTGTAGGGTTTAGGGTTTAGGAATTAGGCCTTTGGGTGCAAGGCTTAAGGCTTTGCGGGGGTTAAGGATTACGATGGTAGGGTTTATCGTTTTGGGACTCGGCTTCAAAGCATAAATGTTGATGGTGCAGGTCGTTTCTCAACAACATGGCAGCTCTGATCCACGAGCAACAAACACATTTCGCACTCCTCAACCGCCCTGGACAAGGTTTTGGGGTTTAGGGTTTGGGCTCGAAGGTTCTCGAAAGCCAGGACTGCTGAAGCTTTGCAGGAGCAGTAGAAGGATACTACGACTCCTTATTCAGACCTGTATAAATATATTATCTGTGTGATGTCTTGTCGACCGGGGCATATCATGTGGAGAAGCTTCCTTACGATTCTGATTATTATTACAATGATGATTCAGTTCTCTTGCCAGTAACAGGACTAGCAGGAGTACTACTAGTCGCATTGCTTGTTGGTAATTGCTATTGTGCATGAACAATGTGGTACTTCCCTAAATTTTGGTCCCTTTCAGGGTCCTTTCTTATAAGGATGCCGTACTACTTGCGGACCTAAAAGGGGACCCTAATTTAGAGCACTACGGTTGATGATATAAATCCTGCATTACCCATAACAAGGAGTATACCATAATTCCCATAGCCAAGGGTCCTTAAGGTAATGCAGGATTTATACCATCAACAGTAGCCATGTCGTTGTTACTACTATGATAATTCAGGCTTCTCCCTAAACCCTGAACCCTAAACCCTATTCTGCAGTGGAGACTGAACATCTCCTGCACCAAGTTCCAGAACGCGCAGTCCGGTAAATCGACGGCCCTGGCTAGGTTTCGGCTTAGTTAGAGCTTTGTAGCGCTTAGGATTTAGGGCTTCGGCTGTGAGATTTACATTAGGGTTTAGGATTTCGGGCTTAGGATGTAGAATCTAGGGTCTAAAGAACCATCCCTTTCGCATTACGGCGCTGGTTGGGATTTAAGTGAGGGAGCTTCACTGCATTTGGTGTCGAGTTCACCCCGGAATCTAACGCAGGTCTTACACCCGGCCTGGACCCTATAAAACCTCCCTTTTTAGGGATTCTTCTTATAATTGCATTGCCAAATCCTTGAAATGTAGCTCATTAGGAGTTAAGGTCAACCCTACCGAAACCTCATGATGGCATGTTTGCTGATCCACGTCAGATGAGACATCGGCAATGTTCAGGTTTCAACGCCATCTGCATGTAGCGATGCCTGGAGCTTATTTCGCGGCCTTAATCATCAGAACAGGGTTTGGGGGGTACGGTTTAATGAAGGAAACCTAGCGAATAGCATTGAAAATTAAGCCAGCTCCTATATTGCCACCGAGTCTCCGGCATCGGTTCGGAACATGGCCAGAACCAGCTCACACCCGACGAAGCGAATAAATCCTTGGACCAAGTTCCCAGCTGCCTCTGCTTGAAGGATCAGACGCGCCACCAAGATCCACGACCTTGTTGATGTCGTAGATCGTGCAACTTGCCGCGCGGCTCGGCCTCCTAAACCCTAAACCCTA